GTGAAAGGGAGCCTGGTAATTGATGAACTTGCAACAGTTATCGGATAGTCAATGGAGGTAGCTTGGCGAGCTTGTAAGGTTTAAGTTTGTGCTGACTTCAAACTTAAATATTTTCAAGCTCTAAAACATTTTTTTTTTTTTGTTTACTATGAAATTAAATCATAATACAAATGTTGAAGAGTTTTAGAAAACTTACTCATTTGACAATTTGTCAAGTCTCACATAAATATATCCACGGGGAGTAGCTTTGAATGCATAAATTTTCATGTCATCACCAAACTGCAACAAGACCTCGTTGGCAATGGAACAGAACCCCGTTCGCCCCCCAGGGGACACCCTTGGCAATACAACTCCCACCACCATCCCCTCCATCACCAATCTATATTTAAGAAAAACTAACAGCAACAATAGCACAAACCTTGTAACTGCAATGAAGTGAAAACCAGAACATCTTACCTCCGGTTCAGCTTCGTCTTCCTCTTCCCACTCCTCTATGGTTTCTTTCTCTTCATTTGATGTTGCTTCATCTGTAGATCAACAGCCTCAGTTTTATAGTGTCTAGAAAAGCTCTCAAGGAAATGCATAAATATTTATCAGAAGAGAAGCAACAACTCAGCTATTGATAAACCCAGAAAAGAAACATCCTTATCCGGCACACAAAAAAAAAAAAAAACCATTAGTTCTTTTTGAAGAGTATCACTCAGAATTTTAATCAAACACTTGGGCGACATAATGAGTCGAACAGTATATTCCACCTAAACACCAACAATCCATTCTTAAATCTACCATTTGGCTTTGTCCTAATGATCTTTTAAACGAAACATGAAAGAAATATATGCTTCTCTTTTCACCGTTCATCCTTTCCGTATTCTCGTCATTTTCACTCCAATACCGACCCGCCCAAAAAGCAAAGGAAAAAGAAAAAAATAAACGCATATATACTGAAGAAATTAGAAAAAGAAGGCTTCACAAGCGAGGGTTTCATCTTCATTACCATGATTATCTTCAGAGGAGGTGCTGCTAGCAAGCCTAATTGTTAGAGAAGTAGAAGAAAGTAAGGAGGCTGTGGGTGTTGGAGAATAACGAGGCAAATGAGAAGAAAAGAGAGCAGGGGCATGGAGGTTGCTGGAGCGCGTTAGGAGTAAACCCGAGAGCCAAAACCTTCTTGCCGAAGGCGATGAATACGGAAGAAACCTGTTAGAAGACTGTAGCAAAGCGTTAATAATCTTCATTCGGTTTCTCTCGTCGTCTCCTGGGTTTGATTTTAATGGAGTATTTTGGCGGTGCTCACATGAGTTTGTAGTTCATAGGCTTCGGTTAATGGAGTATTTTTGTGATCAGTAATTAATATACGGTAGAATAATAATGATAAATTTATACAATGTTTAAAAGATTATGTATTATTATATAATAATAATAGTTGTGCGTTTAAATTTATAAAATGATATGATTATATATTTAATTAAATTAATAATTTATTTATATTTTATTATATATAATATTAAATAAAAAATAATAACAAAAAATTATTTAATTTATAAAATTATTTAGATAATAATTTTTTAAAAAATATTAAAAAATAATTTTTTTATAAAAAATAAAAATATAATTTTTTATAATTAATATAAAAAATTAATTTAAAACTAAAATTTTTTGTTTATAATTATAAGTTGAAAAAAAATTAAAAAATTATTTATTATACAATATTTTTTATTATCATTTTTGTTATATAAATAAATTTTATTAATTTTAAAATAATTATAAATACAATATTTATTAAATCACTTTAATTACAAATCTAATATAAATTAAACATTAAAACATAATAACATAGTTTTATATTAAATATCTATTTTTTTAATTATATACTAAATATCCAACACATTTTTTAAAAATTTTATATAACTAATACTAGAATTTTGCACTTCAGCAACAATAACTTCCATTTTAATTATTTAAAAATTAAATATTATAAATCAATAAGTTTTAATATTCAAAATTAAAATTTAATATAAATTATTAACTGATAATT